CAGGAATGCAAAGACCAGCTGCACATATTTAGCCCATACCAGAGCCAAGCAGTGAACTTTGATACCTTGAATCTCCAAATATACCCTTAAGAAAAGGTCCACCCCTCTCACAGAGGTTTTACAGCAAGTGGAACGTTCTGAGAAAAAACATGTACATCAAAACCTGCAGCTTCAGACAGCTTCCCAGGCTTCATTAACTTCCTATGCATTAACAGAATGCAGCTGAAATTCATTGACTCCCAGTATCAATTGCTTACTTGTCCGCGGAGAATGGTACAAGGAGAACTGTTAAAGGGCTGAGAAAACATGATCCTGTAGGTGCTTTTGGCTACCAGAGATGAGTGCTGAAGGCACTGTCATACACTTGCATTTTCCTCTGCAAATGACACCAGTTGCACATCGTCTTGTCCCAGAAAAAGTCACCCCATACTTAACAATAATGCATTCAATAGCCGTCATACTTAGTTCAATAATTTAAGAGTGCTATTCCAGAAAGAATTACCCAGTCTAATCCTTTGTCCTTTGATTTACAGCTTCAAAATAATAATTTAAATAAGTTATATTGAACATCATATTTCCTCACTTCCACCATGTTTAAGAACAAGCAGCTGCAGATAAATTGTTTAGCTTTCACTTCTATTATTAAAATATATTAAATAGAATTATTTCAAGAGTTCTGTTCTGGGTGATGAATAATGTTTTATTACATCTCAGTAAAGCTGAGAAAGCTGACAATGATTTAACCTCATATTTCACCAATAAATTGGTCTGTCTCTGGAATATGTCTGGATGCCCAAACAACTGAATAATTTATTATAACCCTCACCATTAAAGATTTACTTTAAAAAACACAACTTACAACTTGAGCTGAACTTTTGAGCTAGTAATGTACCCCTAAGCCTCTGTAAAAGCCCTTTAAAATACTTCTGGTGTACTCAACGTGACAGTTCATCCAAATTCTGCTCAGATTTTGGCTGACATTGCTCCTGGTAAGGCCTGATGTGTGCTGGGAGCAGCACCATTACTCCAAAGCCAGAGCAGGACATAGGCAGCACAGGTGGCCAGACAGAGGCACCATTATCATCTGCTGATTATTGTCTCCTGCAGCCACTGCCATTTGTCTGGCAGTTTCCTCAGATTCTGCTGGTTTATGAAAATGGCATAGGCCAAACCTCCAAGCTGGACAATATAAAGCACACCTCCAATAGTTTCTGAATGGATCTCCATCTCACTTGGATGAAAGCATATCCATTTCCTCCATAAGGAGCTGATAAAACAAGAGGCACCTTGCCTCATGTCATTAATCCTTCTCCACAAAGGGAGCCTACATGATTAGCAAAGAAACACCTGAAATTAATCCAGCCTTTAGGTTCCCATCACCATCTTTTCTCCTGGCTATCACAATCTTCTGGTCTTGAAAATGAGAACCAGGACCTCACTGATTCAGTCCAAAACACACCTACTGAGGTCTTCTTTGACTTCTTTTGTTTTATTTGTCCACATCACTTCCCTCTTCCCATTGCAAACACTGCTTGTGTTGAACCAGATAGCTCCTGTACATATTCTACCCTGTAATCTGCCAGACATCTTCCAATTTGTCACAGCAGGTGGATGTTATCTCACATGGCCTAGTGGGTTTGTTACCTCTGTGGAGGTGACACTTGCACCCCTTCAGATTCTGAAAGTTAAACCTCTTGCCTCATGGATGCCAGAAAAATCTCACTTTTTCACCACCTGATGCCTTTGTCCAATATGTAGTTCATAAGCTCTTTGGTCTGGTAACAAAGAGTTACATTGTGACAACTGACAAAATGAGTATCAGCTCCAGGCTACAGTCAGGGAAACTGCAAACCAGCCACATCTCACCACCTGAAAGTTGGCAGGCAACTTGGACATTGCCTGATGCTGCACAGCAAAGGCAAGTGCCATGCAATGACATTGTCAAGCAAACTTTGAACCCAAAAACCAAACCCTAAATTAATGTAAATGCAGAAATAAATGGTCACTTTAAAGCATCTGGAGGCAAGGAGTGGTGATAAATTTAACTTAATCTCAAGTAGTGTATTTCCTGGGCACAATTCAAAATATAAATGTTAATCTTAGGTCTGCTTAAGGAAAAAAATGAATTCATTTTAGCGTTCACTCTCTGAAGAACTGGGTAACTGCTTCTTCTGTTTCTAAAAACTTTTCCTCTTTGCTGTTATCCAGGGACAACTTTCCCAACAAAGCAAGACAGCTTTCAGAGAAACCTGATGCCTCTGGACTCCCTGACCTCTGCAAAACCTCTATGTGCAGTAGAGAAACAGTACTGTGTAGTATTGGTACCCGATCTCCTTCTATTGATAAATGCATATTGGGTTGCAGCCTGAACTGGCCAGCCCTGCTCATGGGTGGCTCCAGCTCTTCACTCTCTGAACATTGTCAGAGGGTGCTGCTGGAAGAGATCTACATCATGCTGATCAGTTTTCTTCCATTCCCCGCCATGCCACACAACAGTAAAGGTCCTACTACATGCTGAGGAAATGCTACTACATGCAGTTCTCAGGAAACTCCATTGGAGAAGGCATGTTTTTTTAAGCAACAGGTTACAGAATAGGCAAGGGGTGTAAGCATTCAATCTAATCTCATGCATAGGGGCTATCTG